AAATTGAGCAATATATAGCTTCTGAGATGGGCCGTCAATCGTACTTCATATTGGTTCATCTCATTCCAATAGCGTATACCGCCATTTATTTATCTGACTCTTCTCTGCATTATATAATCTGCAATATTACAAAACGTTGTTCATTATTATAATCATCGTAAACAATCTATTGAGAAATTGAGAATGTAAAAATATTAGCGATGATTATCTCATTTATATCCCATATTTCATTGAAATAACTTATGGGATTCTCGGTATTCCCGAGATTTGATATCGCTTTTTCGATATCAGGCTCAACAAATTTATCTGGAGTATTCTCACTAGGAACCACTTGGTTCGAGGGTTCATCAATTTTCCCTCTTTTTTTTTCTAGGAACAACGTGCTTTGATCCAATAGGTCTACCCCATTTTTGTCGTGGGAGATCATCATTCATTTTCGCATGTTCTTCAAGAACAGCGATTCTAGCTGGCATATTCACAGCTGGAATATAAGACTTCGTGACTTTACTGGCATCATTAAATGCGTCAGGAAGTCTATTGGCAATATTTTGTAAATGAATGATTCTATGGATCTCATTTTCACATTCAGAGGTACGTGGGTCTAGATGAGATAAATGTTGCTCACACCATGTGAGATTCTCGATTGGTTTTTGTTTATCATTGTTACGGATATTCTGAATATCCTTACCAATCGGTATAAATAATGTCTCATCAAAGTGGCAATCAACAAATTTAGCGGGAAATAAATCATCTGTCATTGGTTCCAAGAACCTAATAATTGACGGTGAATCAAACCCAACGTATATGCCAAGTCGGCGTTGAGGACCCATTTTAGTCCTCTGAGGAGGAGGTATTGGCACTTGCACAGCGCAACCAAGTGTGCGAAGGTGCGAAATATCGGGCTCAAAGCCTCATGCCAATTGCATTGGGGAATGCATATGATAAGCAGTGGGGCGTAATTTAATCAGTGCTGATGCATGCAATACTGCATGGCCCCATACTGCACTAGTGAGTTTAGAACTCATCAGCAAAGTACGAGCAATTAATTGGACGCATTTAATCAAAAATTCCGCTAGTCCATTTAAAGTGTGAACGTACGCTACTGAGTGCTCGACATTTATTTCCAGAGTTGCACAATAATATGTGCCAGCAAACGCGCAAATGCTATATTTCGCGTATATAATAGCCATACGTAGTATCATTAGGCAACATAATTGTTGCACTCCCGGAGTCATCTATTATCTCCACGGGATCTGATATGATTTTAACTTGTGCCTTGCACAAACTCAGACTCGAGAAATATATTTTATAATTGAATATTGAGTGTGTAGTTGCACTATTGAGTATGCAATAGTCATATTTGTCCATGTTTTTCATGTACGCGTATCACAATCAGCTCGACCTCGGGTATTTATCCTCCAAGGGAGATATGTACATATGGGTTTACCCAAACAACTCGATCTTGGGAATCACACCATCCAAGAGAGGTTAAACATAGATACACACAAAATAACTCAATCTCGGGAATCACATCTTCCGAGAGAGATATATATATACACTGAGTACAAGATAACCCAAAAACCTTTAAATTTGGGCTTGTGATTAATAGCCTCTAAGTTGGCTCTTGACGATTTTACCTTGTCTAGCGACTCTACAAGCTTCAGGCTCGGAGGTATATTCAGATATTTGGCCTTTAAATCGGCTTTTGACGGATATTATCACGTCTTAACTCAACGAGCTTGAGGCTTGAAGATATCTTCAGATATTTGGCCTTTAAATACTTTTGACGGATATTATCACGTCTTAACTCAACGAGCTTCAGGCTCGGAGATATTTTCAGATATTTGGCCTTTAAATCGGCTTTTGACGGATATTATCACGTCTTGACTCAACGAGCTTCAGGCTCGGAGATATATTTATGATTTAGCCTCTAAATCGGCTTTCTAGTCTCAACGAGTTTAGACTCGGAGTTACATTAATGATTTAGCCTCTAAATCGGCTTTCTTATCTCAACGAGCTCAAACTCGGAGTTATATTAATGATTTAGCCTCTAAATCAACTTTCTAGTCTCAACGAGTTTAGACTCAGAGATATATGAACAATTTAGCCTCTAAATCGGCTTTTTTGTCTCAACGAGCTTCAGGCTCGGAGCTATATGAACAATTTAGCCTCTAAATCGGCTTTCTTGTCTCAACGAGCTTAGGCTCGGAGCTATATTAGCGTTTTAGCCTCTATATCGGCTTTCTTGTCTCAACGAGTTTAGACTCGGAGCGATATTAAAGATTTAGCCTCTAAATCGTCTTTCTTGTCTCAACAAGCTTCAGACTCGGAGCTATATTTCATTTATTTGACGGGAATTCCAACGTCTTGACTCAACGAGTTTTTCGGCTCGGAGTTATAGTATGACCTCTATAGGGTCTCTGTTAAGCTCTACGGGTACTATGCCCGGAGTTAAAAGGATAGCCTCTAAATCGGCTTTAAACGAAGATTATTATTTCCCCAACTCCACGAGCTTTGTACTCGGAGTTAATCTCATAGTCTCTAAATCGACCTTCAACTGAGATTATTATATCTTTTACTCGACGAGCATCATACTCGGAGTTAATATCTTGGCCTCTAAGTCGGCCCATAGATCTGTTAAAACTAGCACGTGCTTATAACACTGCTTGGGATCCACAAGCTTGCAAATATAAATTTCAACAGCAATTCAACGAATAAATAAGCAATAGATTAATATACATGAATCCATCATATCCTTTGAGAAATGATAGCGTATAAAATACCGAAGTATTCGCTAATCATTCTCGTTTGTTTTTTCGACAATAGATCGATGATCTGGATTTTCGTAAATTAAAATAAAAAGAAGAATACGAAAATAACAAATCCCTATCGAGCAAAAACTCGTGCTGATAACGTGTTATAGAATAAACTAATAACTCAAGATATGTAGAAAATTTAAGATAACATTAACTCTCTGTATTTGTGAAAACTAATTACACATAATGAGAGAAGATATCTATTCAAAGGTTCTTCTATTTCACAATCTTAATGCTTCTATTTATACATAAATTTATATAAAGCCTTGTCATTCTAATATTAATAAGAAAAAGACACGTAATCTTTAATACTTAGTCCACAAGTAATTGTGTGGATATATATTACAATAAGAACATAATTTTTGTCAAGTTGTATATAAAGAATAGGAGCAAACGACGTCGTAGGGAAGAGTTGCAAATTACTTAAAGAAGTGCTGGATAAAGGAACACGTTTATTAGTGGTAGCTGGCTGTGATTTGAATCCACCACTCTAGTATCGACACGTGGCTTGGCGGTTAGTTGCTACATCGAGCTGAAGAGCTGGAGACGGCTATAAATAGAAGGAGAAGCTGATTCACGTTGTTGTCTGAAATATCTTAGTAGTAATACTCTAAAATCTTCAATTCAATTTACCCATTCAATATAATCTCCGATTGTTGTTCCATTCTTAACAATTTTTCTCAGATTTGCCAATCAAATTTGTTCGGTGGAAAAGAGACGCTTGCGATGAAATTGTATTACTCCCTCCGTATTTTTATGTATACTAGCCAATTTTATTTTCGCATATTAAGTATCACTTTAGAATTTTAATGTATGACAATTTTTTTTCTTCTCCAGCTTTACCCTAGTATTAATTACAGATTAATGAAGTAATAAAGAGAAGTTCGAAAATACAGTTTTTTCTTCTACAATTAAGGCTATTTAACAACTTTCTTAATTATTGTGCATTAATCTTAAACGACACTTAAAAAGAAATGGAGGGAGTACTTACTGTATAAGGGATTTCAATTTTTCGCCGCGTCTACTTCATTTCATCTATAAGAGGATGATGTTGGTTGAACATTAGTCAACGTAATTGGTGTCAAAGGAGGCGAAGCAATATCTTCTGCCATCTTCATATTATGAGAACCTTCTAGAGGAACACGTAACCCTACTTCCATCAGACCACCGTCAGCTGGAATCGAATAGCTTCGTGGCAGGCCCTGAGGTGGCGCTGGGAGTGCCGATGTCGTCGTACTCATAGTCGATGTTGATACAGATGCAGTTGACATTTCATTTCTTTTCGATATTAAAGGAACTGAATGAGAGGGCCTTCTAGAAGATATTAGATGAGCTGGCGGGCGAGGCAGCTCGTGCAGTTCGCTTATCTTAGGCGACGACACAAAAGTAGGTGACAGGCGCGAAGACAGCTTCGGAATCGATGTTGGACGTGGCAGTGGGGTCCGCAGTAGGGACGCGGAGAACGGAGGTGGGAATGCTTACGTGGCGATGGGCCCACTAGCTGGGAGATTCGGATTGCTCAACCATGGCTTCGATGATAATGGGCCGGAGAAAGCTTGGCGTTTAGCTTTCTTGGCGTAGGATGCGACGTTTGGATCGAGCTGTTTGAATGTAAGGCCTTCTGAAAACGGAGGGGGCAAAGGGGTGGCTTTTGTGGTGGGGTTGTTGCTCTCTTTAAGTAGTGGTTGTGTGTCTATGCCGAAGGTATAGTGCATTCAACACACACAAGTGCACTTGGATTGCTGCCAAACTCAGGTTAACAATCTCCCCCAACCCAGGTTAACAATCTCCCCCTCAGCAATTGCTCCAGAAGGTATAGTGTATTCAACACACACAAGTGCCCACTTGGATTGCTCATCAATTGCTCCAGAAGGTATAGTGCATTCAACACACACAAGTGCCCACTTGGATTGCTGCCAAACCCAGTTTAACAATCTCCCCCTCAGCAATTGCTCCAGAAGGTATAGTGCATTCAATACACACAAGAGCCCACTTGGATTGCTGCCAAGCCCAGGTTAACAATCTCCCCCTCAGCAATTGCTCCAGACAATTGCTGCCAAACCAATCTCCCCCTCAGCAATTGCTCCAGCTGGTATAGTGCATTCAACACACACAAGTGCCCACTTGGAGCAATTGCTCCAGAAGGTATAGTGCATTCAACACACACAAGTGCCCACTTGGATTGCTGCCAAACCCAGGTTAACAATCTCCCCCTCAGCAATTGCTCCAGACAATTGCTGCCAAACCAATCTCCCCCTCAGCAATTGCTTCAGCTGGGAATCGAACTCATCAATTGCTCCAGACAATTGCTGCCAAACCAATCTCCCCCTCAACAATTGCTCCAGCTGGGAATCGAACCCGTGACCTTGGCTTTGATACCACTCGTAGGACCTCAGACGCTACCAGTTGTCCTAAACCCAATTGGTGTCAGGAAAGGCGCAAACCCTAGCCTTATAGTGTATTCAACACACACAAACGCCCATGGCATTCGATTATGGGTCGCACATACCCGGGCCTCCACCACGTGGACAATTGCTGCCAAACCCAGGGTAACAAAATAGATTCCAGTGAGCAAGTCAAACAAAACGGATGACGTAAGTATCAACTTAAAGATTCCAGTTGAGTATCAACACATGCTAAATTTGTACCTCCATCGAGTTCTTTATTGTAGAGACTTCTTCCACTGGACCATTTTGTCCATAGTCAAAACTTAATTCTCCCTCTTCAGGTGTTCCGAAACTATCTTCAGTATCATCATCCTCGTCATCATCATCATCATCATAACTTTCGTCATCTTCGTCGTCATAATTTTCGCCCATATCATCATGTAGTCCACTAAACTGGTAATCAATATGATGTTGTTCAGCAAGTAATCTGACATGTGGCTCAATTGCCTCTAACGATCCAACTGCCTTCTTGAAGAAGTACAACTGTTTAAAATTAAAGCTCCACCTTATCAATGAAGATATAACAAGAAATGACATAATCACGTATTTAATGTTTTGCAGAAAATAAAAAAAATAAAAATAAATAAACCTGTGCAGCATGGTGTCGAGATGCCTGCGTTAGAAAACTACGGGATTGTCCTTGTTTCAGAGATTTCATGCGGAAGACGAATACGTTTGCCTCCTCGTCGTATTCATTGTGGGCTTCTTTCAACGGAGGTCCAGGAAAACATTCGCCTTTATTGTTTCTTAACCTCACTTTTTCTTTCTGTTTCTTCATCAGATCTTCAAATATTTCTCTGGAAGTCATTTAAAACGACAATTCGTTAAATGGTATAATGTAAGAGAAAAAACTAAACGAGAGTAACAGTTTTGTAATTGAAGGGGTTCAAACAATCTTAGACCTTTTTCCATCACACCGCTTCTTCATCTCATGCACGAAGTAAAGAGCTGTAAGCATATATTGCAGACAAAGAAACAAGAGGTAGACAATTTTTCTCTGGATTATTATAATCATGTTCATAGTGCTATTATAACAAGTTACTTTGCCCAAATGGTTAGATTTCTATCAAATCATTCTGGAACACGATATCAAGCTCCAAATTTAATATTTTTTGTGATATTTCACATTAAATTTGGGTGGGTCCTTGAGTCGGGTCCCCGGGTCTAGGACTACCTGCCAGGTAGCTCTGTCGGGTCCCGAGATCAAGCCCCAAATTTAACATTTTTTGTGATATTTCACATTAAATTTGGGTGGGTCCTTGGGTCGGGTCCCCAGGTCTGGATCTACCTGTCGGGTAACCCTGTCGGGTCTCAGGTCCTTATACACAAAACCGAAATCGACCCATGCAAACTCGGGTCCGGGTCCAACACGGGCCCGGCCCGGATCCGACCCGACAATTGCCCCGCCTCGTTGACCTAGAACCGGACCAGCCAATGTATGAGTCGGTTTCGGACACCCTTTTTCAGGACCCGAGACCCAGCGGTCTCGACCCGAGACTCGGGACTCGGATGTTAATTGTAGCATTTTTGCCCAAAAATGCTTTAGGAGGAGTTCAAACTTGGGACAATTAAAAGAAATGCACATATACTTACTGATGATGCTAAAATATAGCTCACCTAGGGTAGTGTAGCTGGGAGAGCAAAGCGGATCAGTAGCTTGACAACTTGATGATCCTGAGGTCCCTGTGAAATGAACACACGTAAACTACGCCGGGGGTTGATCCGGCGGAAACCCCTCCGACGCTCAAGTCAGATATACGGATTGCGGAGATGGTAGAGAGAATCAAACTCTAGCTTGTTGGTCAAAAATGAAAACGTACCTTTACAAATGAGTAAAACATCTATTTATATATCGGTGATTGGGTTGGGTTTACTTTGTTGGGCCCAAGCCTTACTTTGAAGGTGTTTGGGCTTTCGTGTAGTGGGCCCACTTGTATGTGATTGGGCTTTCGTGTATTGGGCCTAATTAGTAGATAAATTTGAGGGCCCATTGGACCGGCCCATTTAGGTAAATCATTAAGCCCCCCAACTCTCGATTGGAGACGGAGACTTGTGTAGAGGGGTCCGGGTCGTGTCGAGAGTTAATTGCGTCGTGGATTGAATAGTTTCCGTTGGCGGTGAAATAATTCCTTAATTTAAATAAGGTATAATTGTATTTATTAGGCAGCGAGGTATATATTTAAGGGTTTTAAATATTATACCAGAGCCAGATAAATAGACTCCTATTGCGGTGGAAAGAATTAAACTTCATTTCCTTCGTAATAAATATGGGTATGTACTTTTAACTCTAGGTCTTCTTCTGTGCTATTTTTCTCTTGAAAATTTTTTTTGCGGTAGAGTAATAATTTTTTGTTTCTTGATAATTTCTTCGGGGAAAATTTTTCTCATGTCGAATTCGGGTAATTCGAAATCTTTGCGAATTAAACTTCGAGATCCGGTTGAAGGGGGCAAGAAAACTTTTGGTACAGTGGGTATGGAACGTGAAAATCTTGTGATATCGGGTGCGAAAATCGGATCCGCAGTGGGAGTTGCACGAAAATCTGTGCATATGGGGGTAGTAGATGGCTCGGAGACGGAAGGCGGCTTGAGCCGTGTCGCTAGCCGGCCCAAACCTTGTGAGAGGAATTCTCTCGTGGAGCGCGGGGAGCCGAGCCGAGCTGATGAGGTGGCGGCTGGCACGGAGCCCGAGGGGAGGAGAGGGACACGTGAGGGGATGGTGAGTGGGCAGAGCGCGTCAGCGGTGTTCCCACACGCGCGTCGTATTGGAGCGTGCGTGGGCGCGCGCGCTCGGGAGGGAGGGGTGGTGCTGGGCGGTGACGCGCGCGTCGACGGGGAGGGATCTGCTGGCAGACGTGCGCGCGCTGCCCAATAGGAGCGCGCATGCGCGCGCGTCACATGTGGGGGCCAGTGCGCGTGAATGCGCAGTAATTGGGTAAGGGGGGGTGGCGCGCGTGGTAGGGCGTCTTCGGACGCCACTCGCGCGCGTGAGAGCGCTTCCGGTCCCCGTTTTCGACGCGATTCGCGCGATCGGGTCGGGGTCTCGGAGTTGGCAGTTGACGACGAAGTTGATGCGATTCGGAGGAATTTTGGTCAGCGAGAAATCCTTGAGTCGTGGAGTGATGATTTGGAGTCTAATATTAATATTCGCTCTAGTGTTGTGGAACATGGTTCTAGTAGGCGTCGTTACGGGCGTCAAATTGTGGATTTCGGTAGTGACAGCGATGATTCGATTCCAGCGCCTTCGGCGAGTGATCATGCGTTGCCTAGTAGTGAAGTTGAGCGGACGGATGAAGAGGAGGAGGAAGATGATATTCCTCCGGGTGACGTTGGGATTGACACGAGGAGGCAAAAGAAAAATAAGCTTATCAATTTGGACTTAGTTAATTTTGATAGTGTATTGACGGAAGAGCATTTGCATTCTATTCGTCGTTTATCTGGAGCGCCAAGTAATGTCGAGTTGTTGTTGCCTCAGAAGGGCGACCGTTTGTATTCGCCACCCGATGGGTTTCATACGGCATTTTTTGGGTACTTGACGTGTACATCTCAGATTACTCCGCATCTGACTTTGTTGAAGGTTTGCGAGGAATTCAAGATAGGGTATAGTCAGCTCACTCCCACTGCTGTTCTGATGTTCGAGGCGTTTCACCATAGAGTGGTTCGAGTAGGTCTTCCAGTTACTGTGAGGTTGTTTAAGGCGTTATTTACGCTACATCGGCCCACTAAGATGCCTTTCTTTTGTTTCCATCCTCGCGTTCCTTATCAATTCGTGAAGAGTGTGAAGTTATCCTTGGGGGAATGGAAGACCCATTTTTTTTATGTGAAGGCTCCCACTTTCGACGTCCCCGTAGTTTGGAACCCTACGTGCGAGAGTTTCAAGATAACTGCGAATATGGTGATGAGGATAGAAGAATCTAGGTTCTGTAATGTGGAATTTGACCCGAGGGTTTTGATTCCAAAGGCGAAGGGTCAGCACCGTATATCCTTTGAGTGATTGATTTTTTCGCTTCTTTTTTTTTTCTTTTTATTTTTTGTAGATCTTTGGTTGTATATACCCCATGTCTCTTATGTGTTTGATATCTTTTTTAGATGGGAGTATCACCTTTGCGGCACTTCGATCTAAGGCGAATGGGGCGTCGAAAAAGGCATCGAAGAAGGTTCCCGCTACGTTGGGAGGTTCTTCAGGTGGTTTGCCTCGTGAGACGGTCCATGTAGAAACTCCTCGAGTTATCGAAGATGACCGTAGCAGTGCTGGTGAAGTGGAGGAGCGTCCATCGACGAGGGATCGTGGGAAGGGAAAGAGGGTGGATACCGAGTATGTTGTTGTGCCTAAGCGTCCACCGGTAGACCCAGAGGAGACCTATGCTTTCCATGGTGGGGGAGGGAAACAGTTGTTTACCTATGGCGTGAATCGCGATGGTAAGGAGTCGTACTGGGATGTGTCCGACCATGATTTGCCGATGTTGAGTACCGAGGGATTCGTTCGGGAGTATGATCGTGCTCGGATGTCTGGTAAGGGTCCTTCTCACATGTTGGAGTTAGCTGGTGGAGACATATGTCGGGTGAGTGCTTGTCTATTTCAAACAAGATTTTATGTTTATTTCCTTTAGATTTGTGAAAAATATTTATTATTATTTATTTATTTTTTATATAGTTGGTAGCGACTTGGAGGTATCTCATGGAGCAAGGTAGGAACGTGGAAGCTAGGAAGGAGGAGGAGCGGGCCCGAAGTCAGGCGCGTGAGGACGAACTTCTAAGCCAGTTGGAGATAGCGCGGTCCGATCTTTCTCAACGGTCGGAGGAGCTTGCCCAGAGAACAGAGGAGCTTGCTCGGAGGACAGAGGAGCTCGAGGTTATCCGAGGTGATGCTAAGACATATAAGGATGATGTTCATAAGTTGAACGAGTGCTATGACCAGCTCAAAGAGAAATACGAAGTTGAGAAGGCGACGGGGAAGAGGTTCCTCGCGACGTCAGGTGGTGCTGCTTATAAGGAGTCCATCGTGGAGGAAACCAAGCTTAGCTTCCGAGGTAGTGATGAGTGTGCTGCTATGATTGAAGAGCATGCTTTGGCTGTTAAGGGTCGTGCCCTGTGTTTGGACCACTTGGGTCTTAAATATATTTGTCCGTGGCCACGTTTTAAAATTAACACCTCGTGAAACAAATAAAGGGACTTAGATAATCCAGCTGGCCAGGCTATATGAATTATCTAAATCTCTCTAAGTGTTTATAGGGTGGTATTGAATTAGACTCATGATAAGAGGTAGTTTGTATCGATGTAAAGGCACAGAGAGTAAAACGAAAATTGTGATTTATTCGGTGATAGCAAAGGAGAATTGTTACAAGCCTATGTGAGGCGAATTTAAATAAATAGCTAATGTGATAGGCCTACGTGAGGCGAAGGTAACTAACTACTGCTAAAACAAATAAATTGTCTTGATAAAAACTCTTCTAAGTGATTGTGTGGCACTTATTCTTCTTCCACGTCTTCCTTGTACTCGTTTGTTTCACTGTGCTGATGGTAGATGGAATTCTTTTAGCGTCTCTATGTCTGTCAAGTATAATTGAGAAAAAAAGAAAATTTGTTTACACACTTGTATTGAATACTTAGTAGTTGAAGATGTAGTGATGTGTGCTACACTTTTACGTACCCTATTGCGGGGATTGTTTTTCTTCCTCGCTCTTCGAGATATGAAATCAACTCGTGAGTTCACTACTAGAAAAACGCGTTTTAGCAACGTCCGTTAGCAACGGACTATAAATCCGTTTCTACCATCGTTGTTCAGCAACGGAGGTGGCAACGGAAGACGAATTCGTCCCTTTACTTGTGAAAGTTCATCGATAGCAACGGCTTCTAGCGATGCACATCATATCTGTTGCAAAAGTTAAATTTAGCGTTAGCTTTAGCCATAAAAATAAAGGTCGTTGCTATCATATTTTTTTTTTGTGACAACTGTTAGCGATGGATACAAAGTCTGTGTCAAACATAAATATTTACCAACATCTCTAGCAACGGAAGGTTGAGCCGTCGCAAACGTAATTAATTAGCGACGATGGTAGTAATGGAAAATAAATCTGTTTCCAAATTAAATAATTTGCTATAGATTTAGCAATAACATCATAGTCGTTACTACAACAAATATATTAGAAACGAAACTAAGCTACGAACATCATAGTTGTTACTAACATAAATTTTAACAAATAACTTGGTGACGAACAACATACATTGCTAATGTTAATTTTTATCAATTTGAATAAAATACGCAAATAATAATAATAATAATAATAATAATAATAATAATAATAATAATAATAATAATAATAATAATAATAATAATAATAATAATAATAATAATAATAATAATAATAATAATAATAATAATAATAATAATAATAATAATAATAATTTCTTTATTATAATTTTATTGATTATTTTATTGCCTAAATTAGTCCTACACATTAAATTAGCTAATTGCATAAATTAAAAACACCTTTTTCCGCTTCTAGAATTAGAGAGAAACAGCGGCAATTAGAGGAGAGAAACAGAGGCTGACGGCAACCACCACCACCACAACCATCTTTGGCCACACGTCCGGCGCACAAAGAACTACACAGATTAAGGTAACC